ACAGTCTCCTAAGTAGCTTTGGATAATGAAATTTGGATAATGAAAAGTGAAAAGGTCTCTTGAATTGCTGCAGTACAGTACATTCCCGGTTTCAAATCTTGTGAATAAGTTATCAATTTAGTTAGCAATTACATCACCTTATCTACAGTGACTATATAGCAGTATAGAGGTATATAGGTATAGAGAATACCTACAGTGCGCAATTAAAAAAGTAATTAAAATTAAAATTAAATTAATTGTATATGGAACTTTATTGAAAATATAAAAAATAAATGTCTGTTTAATATATCTACTGGTATCCATTACTGATATGTTTAACATATTGCATGTTATGTTAACATGATCTGTCTTTTCTAAATCTCAGTTGCCTCTCCCTTAGACTGCTGTTACCATTTAGATAATCCTATTGCTTATCTTTAATAAAAATCTCTATTGCTTTATATGTAATAGAGGTCAGATGTGCTGGTTTATAATTGCCTGGTTCACATTTGTCGCAGATCTTTACATTTGCTGTTTTTCATTGGGTGAGCTCTGCTCTTAACTCTGCAAATACTGTTGTAAATGGTCTCTCATTTCTTTCAGTGTCTTTTTCTTACTGTTCAGATATACTACAAATCCACTTTCTAGAAACCAAGTTCTGGTGCCTCTTGTCTCTCCTTTCTTAATAATAACAATGTTATATCAATATATAATATAATAACAAACAATAATAATTGTTATTTATTTTGTTGTTATGTTACCAATTTTCACTTGTGTTAGCTTTTATGAGGAAATGAAACCTTAAAAACACAAACAGGGGCATATTCATCAAAGATGAATGAACAGAGTCAAATATGTCATTCTACACAACGTCCTGTTTCTAATAGATTTGTTGTGCCGAGTTGGCAAATATATACTAAAGAATGCAGAAGGAAATTCATTAGCATTATCTGTGACAATATTTGAAGACTGGTGGCTTTCCCTTTTTCCTAGAAGCTGAAGACCACAGGCAATGGGACTTCCCCTAGACAATAGTTTGTCCTATGTAGGCATGAATATTTAAATACTATTGGTCTGAAAGCCTACAACAATAATCAATTTACAAGGTGACATTCCTAGAAATGTATAGGTCTTTTACACAAGAGGTGTTGCTTTCAATGTGAACAGTGTTCTCATATTGACTCCTGCTTGAGAAATATTCAGTTGAATTGGCACAGATGATATATGTTGTACTTTAACCTAATGACGAACAACAAATCAAAACCTGCCTGCCATGAAAACAAGTGCTTGGGAGCCAAATACAATTCAAATATAAAACCTTTCACACATTTAAAGACTTTAAAGAATCCTTTCCACTGCAGCAGCTTTATTAACATATATATATTATTTTGAAGATCATATTTGACTACTCAGTGCTATGATGTGGCAAGCAGATGATTAAAGCCATGTCTTGCTAATAATCCAAGAGCTTGAGCCCAGTGAAAGGCTCAAAGAGAAGACGAAAGCTGATGGCGATTGCTGAAGCAGATTGGAGAGTATCACAAAGTGGTCTTTCAGGACCCTATGCAGACAACACAATCCGGGGGGAGTAAAGAAAACACAGGGAATAAGGCATGCAAGGGGCTGGAAGGCAAACAGGGGGGCATGTCCACGGTGCGCTGGTGTTCGGGGGAGGTGTGGCCGAGGCAAACAGTCCAGGGGAGTCCGAGGCAAACCCAGGAGTGTAGCAAATGTCCAAGACCGGGTACTCCATCCAGACAGACAAACAGAGTTAAAAGCCAGAGCGGGATCCGGTGGAGGGTCGGGGGAATAAAAGGGGGTAACGAGACCAGACGCTCCCTAATCCCGGACTCAGAAGGACAGGATGCCGTGATGAAGCCTGTGCCGTCGAGTCTCTCCTGGACTCATGGGTAGGCGTCCATCTTCCAAAGCTGATCCCTGATAGACAGCAACGTTTGGCTTATAAAGCACGGGGGGCTGGAACCAGAGGCAGGTGCGGGAGATGAGTATAAAACAAGGAAGGGCTGGAGCGTCCTTCAGAGGAGGGGTTTACGATCATGACAGAGAGCGGAGGCTGATGGAGATTGACGAAATGAGAGGCAAGAGCAGATGGGCTGATCGTTGGATGTTGGCAAGGGTGACTGCGCTGTCTCGCAGGGTTATCAGACTCATCTAAGTTTCATCTAAGTGGCACTGGTAGAGTACTTGGCTGAACAGATTCAAGACAGACGGAGACATTCTCGGGCAGGATTCAGGCTGAGTGCTCTCCTGAAATATGTTCTAGTTATGACAGAGCACAGGATCGGGGCAGATCGGGGTTTAAATATCCCACGCTTATGGAATACGTGCCCATTAATAAGCAGGAGATGGTTGGGAGAATCGGCTGGAGAAAGTACTCACAGCCCCAGGAGACTGGGAGAAAAATATCCAGTCATTTCACAAAGTTGGGTTGTATGGCATAGAGGCAAGAAGGAGTTCATTACTTATCACAAGCATATTAAATTACCCATGGAGATTGCAAAAAAGCATTCATTTGATATTGCTAACATGTGGCAAAAGGTTTTGTGGTCAGACAAGACAAAATTGAAATGTATTTGTAAAAAACACAAAGTCTTACGGTACTTCTGCACAGACCCAACACAGCACATTGCATTACCTAGTTGACACCATTCCTACTGTCAAGCATAGCAGTGGTACTGTAGCATTATGTTATGTGGCTGTTTCTCATCAGCAGGGTCTGTGTAACAAACAGTTCTTTCCGGACCCTATGCGGAAGACACAATCCGAAGTAGTGAGGAAACATGGGGGAAAAGTCATGCAGGAATACGGGGATGAAAACAGGGGGGCGTGTCCAAAGTGCGCTGTGCACGGGTGTGGCCGAGGCAAACAATCCAAAGGTAATCAGTCCATAGGCGAATTCCAAAAACACAAGCAGAAGTCCATGGCCAGGTGATCCATCCAAAACTAAAGATTTAAATCAGGAACCGGGTTGGAACCGGCAAGGGGAACAGGAACAGGCATAGAAACTTAAAAACATAACGGAGCCAGGTGCAACCAGGTCCCGTGCCCGCACAATATGGAAATCAGATGCAGATTAACGTCAGCGGATTAACATCAGCGCCTGGCTATTAAGGGAAGCTGGAAGGAGGCTAGAACAAGGAACACGTACAGGGAATAAGGCAAACAAGGAAGAGCCGAAGCACCCTTTAGGGGGGAGGGACTACAATTGTGACAGACTGGAAAGATTGACAAGATCTGGAAACCCACTTTAGTCTGTTAAAGTCCTAGAACTGAAATGGAATTTTGCACAATAATGACACAAAAGCCAAAGCTAAACTGGAATGGTTTAACAACAGGAAAGTGTATGACCTCGAGTAAGCCACTTTGCAGGCTAGACCTAATAACTGCTGCCCATCAGTGATCCACAACCAATTTAACAAAACTTGAGCATGTCTGCAAAGAAGAATGTTTGCACAGAAGAATGGACAAAGCATCCCAGTCTGCAAAGCTGTTAGAGACTTATCTAAAAAGTCTTTGAACAATAATTGTCACCAAAACTACATCCAACACGGTATAACTCAGGGGGTTGTTTACTTGTGCAATCAACACATTTTAGTTTTTGATTTCCCATTGCATTCTTTCTTTTGCTGACATTTAACTTCTTTTGCCCATATGAGTGTTGACTTTTGAACTTTTGAATAAGCTCGGTTTTAATAAGAATAAATCATTTTAAATAATGTGCATATTTGTAATTCAACAAAATGGAATATTGTTGGATGGGGATGGATTCTTTTGCAATGTACTGCACCAAATTCTAGCATGAATTGCTATGTATAGTGACCATCAGATTTATTTATCCATTGATGAAATAAGAACAAAAAATGTAATGTAGCAGAATGAGTTACGGACTGGATAGTGTGTCTTGATTGAAAAAGTTCAAATGTTATGCATTAAAAGCTTAATATCATTGAATAGAACAAAGTCATACTTGAAATATATAATTAAATAAATTCCAGAGTTCAAGATGCTTACATTTATACTGTAAATGTCTACTGTAAGTATTGATTTGAATAAAAGTAAGCAAAAACAAACAGTAGTTAGAACCTCATAGCACTCTAAAGGAGGCATCTAGAAAGTGCAGTCCCTGTCAGAGGAGGATTCACTAATATAGCAACTACAAGGGGCATGAAAAATGTGACCCTTTTTGCAACAAATATGACTTTGGGCTGTGCAGTGCTATTAACTATACTGTATAATCCCTTTAGAATCATTTAGGCAATAAATGTAACTTTTTAAAAATATTTTATGTTATCTGATATTACAGGAGGATTTTTCCTCCTATTCAATGTAATATGAATACATCTGAAGGGCACTGTATATAGTCAATAAGTCATATAAAGCCAATGAAGTATATCAAACTCTTTATTGTATGTCTTTATCACATAATATCATAAGACATCATCGAAGAAAAGAAAATCATTAATTCCCAAGTAGGCACAAAAAACCCATAGAGGCACCAATAACACTTTAGATTAGGAGATGCAAATTGCCATTCTAAATGAAAATTGGTGTATTAATAGAGTGACATAAATGTGATGATAACCTTCTGATTAATTGTTGGTTGATTGATCGGATATTAATAGCAAAACTTGAATTCTGACCATAGCCTGAAAGATACCCAATATGATTTAGGGTTTGGAATACTTTTCATACTGCAGTTTTGTAGCAACCTAGTAGAATGTGTGTGTAGCATGGAATGAATGAGAAGCGCAGGTGATGCAGGTCACAGAACACAAGTCAATAAATGTGTATAACATCATTAATAATGTATTAATCAATTAATTACAGACAGTTACAACAGATACTTAAATTGTGGCTTGGGTGCAGTCCAAAAGTGTTCTGCTCTGATCAGGAGTGCATCAGAATCCTGTTGAATCACCCTTGAAAATGAAGCGTTATGTGCCTCCCACTACCCATTATGAGTTAGTACTGTAGATCCTGCCAGTTTGGCATTTACTTACAAAGTATGGCATCTTTCAGCCCTGCGTTGTAAATCCCCCACTGATTCTTGACAATTCTCCAAATTTGTTTCCTTGGTATGTTCACATTTGAGTCTGGACATTGGCAAGGCTTTATTTCTGAAAACAATAATAGGAATAAATAGATCTGTTGCTCTTTTCTGCCCAAATGAAACTCACATAGGCAGCTCATAGTGCATAATGCTCAAACGTCTTTTTTAAGAAAAGAACACAAACTTAGGCGATAACAAAATAACTTTATAAACCTGTCCTGTTTCATTGAAGGAAGATCTTTGTGGTCTTTTTCCTTAGACAATGTTTCAAAGATTACTTGTAAATGGACGATTTACATGACACCATAACACATTAAGAATAAAATGTTAAAATTCTCAAATGTAAAAAAGTAATTTCAAAGAAAACCTATTAAGATTAAAAACAGGATCTGGAGTGCATTACATACACACACAATAATATATTTCTTGATTTTTGGTGTTTTCCACAAAAGTTAAACTGGTGGAGTACGTGACGTTTGTTGCTATGCTTTTAATTATCTTGGTATTTTCCACTATGGCTTCTATCATTACAAATGCTAAATAAGGGAAAGTTTTAACTTTAATCTTTAGGGAAGTTCTCAGTTCTTATTTAGGGAGTGTACAACAATGTTTCTTTGATCATTGATTCCATTACTAAATTATGAAGGGGTTTAACCAGGGCCAGAGGACAGAGTTTACAATGAGGAAAGTGCTGAGGTCATATAGTTGCAGATCAGCATCTTGGCATGTTTTCATTTTGACGAGAGGCAAATTTGGTATAACATGGGCATAAACAGAATAAAATATCTTTTCATTTTTTAAAATCACTGATAGACTGTTTCTCATCTGGTTTCTACTCTTAGGTTTAAGAGTTAAGCTTGAAGAAACTTGTGGTTCACAAGCTTTAGGTTGATTGGGCCAGTTTGAAAATATGCACTGAAGGATCACTGATCTTGGGGTTGATGGCAGAGGCTGTGATTTTGTAATAGAAGATGCTGCAACAAGCCCAAAGTAACCCAAAATGATTTGTGCCGAGGCCATCTTTGTTTAACCCGGTACAGAAGTTGTGAGGGACCCTGTAGTGGATATCCACTAGCTGTTGCTTGTCAGCAAATGGATGGAATGGTAGACTGAGAAAAATTAAGTGACTAGTAAGAATAAGGAGACTCATAGGGCTAATTGGCAGAATTGAGCTCAAAGTACTAGAAGTAAATGCCCTGACCCAACTGGTCATTTTGCTACAACTGAATGAATAAAAATGTTTTTGGAGCCCCCAAAACAAAAGCTATAACGATGGACTTGGGAGCTAGTAGGGGTCCAGTATATTCATCATGGGCCACACGTGAAATCCGGGTGAGGTGGGGGAGAGACAAAGTTGGGGTTGATACCATACTCAATTGGAGGCCAGACGAACATTTTCCAACATTGCCTGTACTGTGATCAGACCACAGGCAGTGGCAGAGTTGAAGGCTGTGACACTGCTGCCGGCTGACACCGTGCTCTCACACATGTGAGGTGGAGTGAGCACTGGCGATGGACGTAGGAGACTGGGGTAATAGGAGAGATGAAACACCGCAGATAGGAGTTCCGGTTCTAGAGTATGGGACAGGGGTGAGATTGAAGTGTTGCTTGTTTGAGAGTTGAGGTAGTAGGTTATGATTGGAGATGATGGGGTAGAAACTAAACATGGAGCACAGGCAATACATGGGAATGGTGGAGGATGAAAGGTCAAGTCCAGCATAGCTAAGTGGAAAAAATGTCTGTATCAAGAGCAAAATGCTGAGGGCAAGAAAAGTTGCATGCAAGGGTGCTCAAGAGGCAAAATATGTATGCTTAAGAGAGAGGAAGTGGGCAACATTAGATACTTGACCTCCTCCCAAACTTTGCTTTACAAATTCCATTGGAGAACTTACAAATTTAAGATTTGAGAACTATTATCACTGCAACAATAGGAAAGAGAACTGGTTGAAAGATATCACTAACATATACAGAGCCTTCAGAAAGTATTTTTCAGCTTTTCAGTGGTAAGGACTGGGGCACTTTTCAGGATGAAGGGGACAATGAATAGATGCAAATACAGGCAGAGATCAGTACTGTCACATTCCCCCAAAAGAATCCCCAAAAATCGTGCGGCTGCAGTTTTGTAGCAACCGAGCAGAACGTGTGTGTAGCATGGAATGAATGAGAAGCGCGTGTGACACAGACTTGATCTTGAGGGAATGCAGGTCACAGAACACAAGTCAGTGAACAGCTGGCAGCAGTAGCGGGACTAGCCAACTTACAGTAGGTTTGGAGCTCTGTAGTGGGTCACGGAAGATGCTGCAGCAACCTAGAAGAGTAACCTGACAGGAAAATAGGAAAAGAGCTACCTTTTGCTGAATGTTTCTAGACAGAATGGATGAGATCATATTCCAATTGGAATACCCTAAAGAAGAAATATGAGCTATGTATGCAGCTAGAAGCTTTGGGAAGGGAAAGAGCTGAGGGCCGGTACTGATCCAGTTAGACACCAACTGAACTCATCATATTAGTAGCCTAGGCAATGGGCCCTAGAGAGAGCATGAGTTATAAATGAGAATGCCAGGTCTGACACTGTGTTTCCAGGGACAACTAAAAGATTGATTGGGCAGAGGGGAGAGATGAGATAATGGATATAGGCTGGGGACCAGAAAGAGGGAGAAAAAAGGGATAAGGAAGGAGGGCAGAGCGAGTGGGATTATGTAGAGAGAAGGGAAGGTAAACGGGGAGACAAAGCTGTCATAGTTGTTTTAAGTTTTAATAAGGTTTGACGATATCAAGTGAGCTAAAAGAAAAATACAGACACACTGTGGTAGCAAAAACATTTGTTTTCAGTGGAAGGTTCTGGCTGAAGTGCTGAGAAAGTGACTCTTGTCCTTGCATATAGGACATATACTGTATAGAAGATGAATGTGATAAATGTAAGGTGCCAGCAATGCAGAGTGAGACACGTCCATCTGTGACAAAGCAAAACACCAAGTGCTAGAAAACATGCAAATAGGGCCATATTCGTTGCGGGGGGTGGTTATAGTACATTTGCTTAAAGAAAACCTCTCTAAGATTATTGTACTCTTCTATGTATAGTAATATATATTCAATGTGACACTTGGTGGGTTTCTTTATTTAGAATGACTGTTACCTTTACTGTATGTATTTTACTTTCTTGTAAGGATATTCTGCTGGGACCTTCAAGGCATAAACACTGATAGAATGTGCTGGAGGCATGAATTAAAAATTAGAGGTCTTGTAGTTCATTTTTCAATAAAATGAAGAAATAATATACTGATGTTCAAAAGAAACATAAAACTGAGATCAAAGAGATTTTATCATATATTTTAAACAGATCATAATCACTGGACGTTAATAGTTTTTAAGCAAGAAATAAAACTCCCTGTCAAAATGAAAATATTATGTGTGGAAAATAAATTAAAACAGTCTTGGGAACTCTGATCGGTAGATATGATTAGCCTATGGACAGACTGCTTTGGGTACGCCATTCTTGCAGCTGAGGAAGATCATGGTGGCATTGGTGAATTAGTCTCAAATATGTTCAACTGGAGGCAAGAGAAAATGCTGGCCATGGCAAGATTTGAACATTGTAGTCATTGTCATTGCTGTGCCATTGTAAACCTAGCACTGTGTGGTCTTGCACTGACCTGCTGGAAAATCTACATTTCTGGACTGGCTTGCAGGCACAGAAAAACTGTTGGCTCAGTGACTTAGTGAATATATCACTGAGTACTAAGGTTGCCCTCCATTAGCACCAGAGTTGCTCTTGTGTTAAAGGAGATTCCTCCCCACATCATCATGCTTTTACCACCCTAGCAGTTGGCTTGAATAATACACCAGTCAGCACAGTACTCACCACAGAGTCTCCACACATGTTGTCTTCCATCAGGCCTGTCAAAGGCAAAATGGCATTCATCAGTGAATAAAACACTTTACTACTGTCTATACTGCCACTTCAGACATCTTCCAATGTTCTCTGGCCCACAGAAGATGGTGATTTCATCTCTCAGCTGTCAACGTTATCCCTGAACAGCATCTAAGCATACAAATTATTTTCGTGCAGATGGCGAGTAAGACTCATTTTGCTGATGCTTGGATTTTTTTTTCCCTGGAATTCTATGTACTGTAGCCTCTGGATTCTGAAAACTGATACATCACGGATAGATCACTTGCACAGATATTCAGGCATTCAATCATGTCAGTAGCAACTAGGTAATATTCAGTAAATACGTGAATGGTTTTGCTGTTCTTGTAGTAAAGTAGTTAAAATAATGTATTTCCGAATGCAATTTATAAACATTCTGAATATTATAAGTTTAACTCATATTAGAAACCAAACAGACAAGAAGAGGTTAATTTCATGCAGGAAAGTACTTCTGTTCTGTTGCAGCTCACTGATTATGCAGTGTCTCCACTCTCACCTCTTTAAATATCAAACACACAGCACCTGGTATTTTTATTGAATCACATGACTTGAGCTCAGCATTTTTTACCCCCAAGAACTACTACTCATAATTAAAATAAAAACATTTCTATTCACCATTATTCATGTAAATAATATTATACATGTTCCTTGTTAGAAGTACTGACTTGTATTGCTGGGATTTTGAACTCACCATGGCATACGCCATTCTACATACAATTGTTATCATAAAATAAAAAGATTACAAAAATAACCAAAATAAAGATGGCAAACTGCCCTTGTCCATCAGGAAAACAGAAGTTAATTGATCCAAGGATTCCATCCAGCCATAGAAGCTTGGGTATTCAACAATGTGGTTGGGTACTATAGCTTATTGTACAGTGTACTCCAACAACTCTTTGGCTAGAGAATCACTTCCTGGTCTAGGTTTTGAATGTATTTCCATGTGGTTTCCACTACATTGTGTTTCACTGTTTAGCATAACATTGTTGAAATACAAATTTCAATTACAAAAGAAAACACATAACTGAGACAAAATCCTTTTGTAGAAATTCCATTCTGTCTGGTGTCAAATGAAATAACATACGGTTTTGAGGCTATGGCATGTCCTTTGATTAGAGATGTAGGTGTGAAGACTGTCTGAAGTGCCACAATTACTGAAACCTGAGAGGGAACAATTTCAAAACTAATTACAAACTTCAAGCAGGCTCCTCAGTTTCATGTGTTGTAAAACTTTTTTATGAGTGAACATGCTGGCAAACAACTGGACTTACACATATTGCGCTATACACTTGGTGACTGAGAGCACAAACTGTACACCTTCACAATTGCTTCCAAAGTGTGCAGAACCACCCCAAGGGCACTGTCAGACAATCATCATTATGTCAGGGAAAGGAAAAAAATATATATTTTATGGGCTATACCAACAACATTGAACCATTTTTTGAAACAGAAAAGTAAGGCCACTTCCAGAGGTCAGATTCAAACACGAATGAGATCCATGAAGAATCAATGTAATAAAGTTGTCACGAAGCATTCTTTCAGGACCCTATGCAGACAACACAATCAGGGGAGGAGTGAGGAAAACACGAGGAAAAAAGCATGTGAAAGGGCTGGAAGCAAAACAGGGGGCGTGTTCATGGTGCGCTGGTGTTCGGGGGAGGTGTGGCCGAGGCAAACAGTCCAAGGGAGTCCGAGGCAAATGCATGAGTAGAAATAGTCCAAGACCAGGTAATCCATCCTGATGAAGACGAACAAAGTTAAAAGCCGGAGCGGGATCTGGCGGAGGGATGGGGGAATAAAAGGGGGGTCACAGGACCAGATGCTCCCTAATCCCGGACTCAGAAGGTCAGGATGCCGTGATGAAGCCTGTGCCGTCGAGTCGCTCCTGGACTCGTGGATAGGCGGGCTTCTGGGCGTCCATCTTCCAAATCTGAGTCCAGACTGGGGGGAACGTCTGGCTTTTATAGCACAGGGGGCTGGAACCGGAGGCAGGTGCGGGAGATGAGTATAAAACAATGAAGGGCTGGAGCGTCCTTCAGAGGAGGGGCTTACGAACGTGACAAAAGTCTGTACTGTAAGGTGAGGTCATACCTTTAATTGATACTGTAACCTCCTTTTTAGAACTAATTTAAATAAGAGGCCCTCAAACAACAAGAGTAACATCTAATTCTAAATAAAATGTAAATAAAATTGCTTACATATGGTTGAGATTTGATGACAATGCTACTGAGCTATAAAACAGAAGAATAAATCTACTGTATATCATATTTAATGTTTGGTGACTTTTGCTGGTACATGTATAAAATAAAAGGAACAAGTAAAGGTTTATTCCATGCTAAAAAGAGAAGAAAGGAAACAACGTTTTGGCTGTGGAGCCTTATTCTGGTGTGAAACGTTGTGTTTCCTTTCTTCTCTCTTCAGCATGGAATAAACCGTTACTTGTTCCTATGGAGCCTACGCATGCTGACGCAGCTCCCTACTTGAACTACTGTATAAAATAAAATACTTACAAATAATAAATAAAACTATTGTAGCCTTTTTTAGAAAAGTTAAAAGACCAGTTTTAAAACTACTTATCAGTTTTAAAACTGATTTTATTTATATACTGTATACATATTTGTTCAGGACTGTATGTATATTTAAAATGAAGTGATATTACACATAGTTTGCTATCTAGAGATCATTTTTTAATTCAGGGTAATTTTTTACAAGAAGAATATAATCCTGGATTCTGGCTGTAAGCACCAGAAAGACAAAAAAGCTTGTTTTTAGAAGACTTACATTTTACCAATCAATACACAAAACCATGCCATTTTATATGTCAGACAGAATGAATAACTCAGGACTATGTAATTTGTTTATACTATTACTTTGATCATTAAATAAATATTAAATCCACTATCATCTACAGTTTACTCCTCCTGTGGGCACAACACTGGCAAGCAGTGTTGCTGATTTATTGAAGGGCTTAAACACCACAACAGAATATGCCAGTTTACTAAATACCCTAATTTTAGAATGAAGCAAATTGAAAGTTCTGGTAATTAGTTCTGGTAATTAGCATTTGTATTTTGAGAAGCTTGAAAATTAAAGAGAAGCATTTAAGAAAAAAAGTTTACTTTTAGTAACTCATACTGTACTTAGATTACATTGATTTTTTTATATAACAAAAAGTAACTAACCCTATAAAAACGTGGTGAAAGAATTTGAAAACTGTGAGAAATCTTTACAAATGTGAGGTATATCTAAATGGGGGCAGATGCAGATTTCTCTGCAGAACATTTGTAAAACAAAGAAATCCCGAGGAAAACCTTATCTCATGAGGCAATGCAACTCTATAACATGTGAAATAAAATAAGGAAGCAAGCAAAGTTTGGATTTATTCTGTAGCTAAAGAACTTCCGTCACTTCACTAGGAATGTGTCTGTGGTCCTTTCAGAGTGTTTCCTAACCAAGAGGGAGGAGTTGCAGAAGGTGAAGGTCAATATTGCTAGAAATGTTGTTATAAAATGATGCCCACATACTGTATGTACAGTGAACTGATAGGATTGTTTTTTCTGGTGTGTTTGTAAAAGAATGTCACTCGCTGTTACTATCTGTGTGCAATCACCATCAGCAGCATTAAAATGCAGCACTATAGTTTTTAAAGAAGTGATCTCTGAACAGGCATGATGAATGGGAAAGCATCTGAAGGAGAAGATGGGGCTGGTTGAGCTGTGGAAAATATTGTGAAATACTGCTCGAAATGAGTTGTTAGAAATGTTATACTGGTCTCAGACATTCACAAATGCTAAAAACAGAGATTAAAATTGATACTGTGAAAACAATGGTCTGTACATTCTGCTTCTTCTCTTCCTTTGTTCTTCCATTTTATGAAAACGTCCTGTTCCAGGCGGCTTCCTTTAAACAGGTAATCTAAACTGGCAATACAGCTGGATCATGAAAGATCTTGGCTACAGACAGGCCAGCTGTACAAACCATACAGGAACTGCAGTTCATGCAATCAAAATAAGGTCCATTCATTCCGATGTGGTATAATGTCTGTATTTCTGTCTTATTACATTAATTAATCAATACATTTCTATATTTTCCTTCAGAATAACAGTGAAAACATAGCTTCATTTAGTGTTACTTCCCTTTCAAATTTTAACTAACCCTTGATTAATTTCCTTGCAATAAATACAGTATACTGTATAAGGTATAGTATACTGTATGAACTAAATATTAAGAGATTATGATTTGAGATACTGTAACACATACTGTCCTTCTGTTTATATTATTTTAATTTCCTTTGTTATTTTTCAATTAACGTGTTATCATGACACCTGAAACTCAAGTCAGTATATTTGTTTGCTTTTAATTATTTCACTAATTACATATTTTGAGACCTGTCTCCATATTTCATTACCTGATTATTATCATAAGTACCCTATCACACTTCAAATTTTAAAAGTTATGTGTAAACAGGGGAGGTACCACTGGGCACGTTGTAATGCAATCCCAGCCCTGATCCTAGACACCCAACAAAACAACAAAAAAATTAGACATTACCAAAGTAAGTATTTGTCTTAAAGCTGCAGAAACTTCTGAAGTTAACACAAAATCTTTAATCTAATATCTAGATCAACTGATTTTGAGTGTTTTTTTAGCTTTGAATATACCTTTAATTTTGGACTTTAATTAAAATGAGCATTTTTAAATATACTCTATTCATAAAGAGTAAAAGGATGCAGGAGGATGGTTATTTAGAGGGTTAGACTGTACTGAAGCAATTAAATGACTTGTGAGAGAAAAAATAAGGAGTACTGCACATAGACAGATAGCAAGAACAAGTGTTCTTGGGTTCCAAAACAGTAGTTAGAGAAACTGGAAACTTACTGATTTAAGTGCCTTATCCCCTTATCTACCCTGAGAAACATAGCTTTAGCTGCTACAATCTTGCATTCTGTAGCTATCTCCTACAGCAGCT